AGAGAGACAGAGAAGACGAGGAAATACTGTGGGTGTGTTTATGTAGATGCATATAGGATACATACACGATATACACACATAATGATGTAGAAAGTTAAATTGATGATTATGTACTCCATAATTTATTAAACACGTAAGATAACCTAACCAAATGGACCAAAACGCACATAGGTACAAAACACATTCTGTCCTCATTAATAACAAACATCTATCACGAACATGGACATCCAGAGAGAACACCAAAAATACTATTTAAAAATTTGCGAACAAACCTATTATAATAGCGACCAACATACACCAACAAAACAAAAACAAAACACACACATCATCCACACGAAGTCAAGTACTCACCCTTACAGGACATGAATATGCACACATCGCCCTCACTGAACACTTCATTTATTCAAGCCACCTGTTACCACACGACACCTCCCGGCTATATAATTGCACCCGTTAGCATAAATCCACACATCAGCTCCACAGTCAGATATATAAAACATACGCTCCTCTCTCTCTCTCTTTCTCTCTCTTCTCCCATCTCTTCTCTCTCTCTCTCTCCTCTGTATTTCTCAATTTAATCTCTCTCTTCTCTCTCTCGCTCCTCTCTCTCTCTCTCTCTCTCTGCTCTCTCCTCATCTCTCGCTCTCTCTCTCTGCTCTCTCTCTTCTCTCTCTCTCTCCTCTCTCTGTACTCTGTTCTCTCTTCGCTGTCTTCGCTCTCTCGCTCTTCTCTCTCTCCTCTCTCTCTCTCTCTCTCTCTCTCTCTCTCTCTCTCTCTCTCTCTCTCTCTCTCTCCTGCTCTCTCCCCCTCTCTCTCTCCCTCTCTCTCTTGCTCTCTCTCTTCCCAGTCAAACAGAGCCCGCAAGCACCGAGGCAATATCCAACCCACTCGCAGTCTCAACATATCTTATTCCTATCCCTCTCCCTACTCCTCCTCCCTTCTCTCTCTCCCTCCTCCTTCTCCCCTCTCTCCCTTTCGTTCTCTCTCTCTCTATCTCCCTCTCTTTTCCTCCCTTTCTCTCTCTTCCCCTCTCCCCTCTCCTTCTCCCTTTCCCTCCCTTTCCTCTCTTCCCTCCCACTCCCGCTTATCCTCCATCTCCCTTCTCGCTCCCTCTCCCCCTCTTCCCTCCTTTTCCCTCCGTCCTCTCTCCTTCTCCACTTCCCTCCCTTTTCTCTCTCTCCCTTTACCCCTTCCCTCCCTTTCCCTCTCTTCCTTCACCTTCTTATATTTTCTCCTCTATCATGTCCCTCCCTCTTCCCTTTCCTCTGCTTCCCCTCCCTTCTACCGTTAACCTCCATCTCCTATCCATCCCTCTCCATCTTATTCCTCATCCCCTCTGCCTTCTCCATCTTCCCTCCCTTTTCTCACTCCACTCTCCCGGCTTCCCTTTCCTCTCCTGTCCTTCTCCCTCTCCCCTTCCCGTTCCCTTTCCCTCTCCTCTCTTCCCCCTCCCCCCTTTCTCTCTCTTCCTCTCCTTCTCTGTTACCCCTCCCTCTCCTCCTACCCTCCCTTTCCCTCCTTCTCCTTCTCCCTTTCCTCTCCCCCCCCTTCCTACTCTTCCCTCTCCTTCTCTTCCTGCTCTATCCAACCCTCCCTTTCCCTCTCTCCTCTCCCTACCCTCCCTCTCCCTCTCCCTCTCCCCTCTCCCTCTCCCTCCCTTCTCTTCCCTTCCCCTCTCCACCTAACCCCCTTATCACCTCCTTGCTCCTTCCCTCTCCCTCTCCCCTTCCTCTCCCTCTCCCTCTTCCCTCTCCCCTACCCTCCCTCTCCCTCTACCTCTTCCCTCTCCCTCTCCCTTCTCCTCTCCTCCTCTCTTCCCTCTGCCTTCTCTTTCCTCGTCTTCCAAACCCTCCCTTTCCCTCCTTCTCCCTCTCCCCTACCTCCCTCTCCCTCTCCTCTCCCTCTCCCTCTCCCTCTCCCTCTCCCTCTCCCTCTCCCCTCTCCCTCTCCCCTCCCTCTCCCTCTCCCTCTCCCCTCGTCCCTCTCCCTCCTCTCCCTCCCTCTCCCTTCCTCCCGTCCTCTTGACCCACCACAAGCTCTGTCAATAGTAATGGGAAACGTCATTCACGCAAGAATTTGACTTGCAATTCACATTGATAAGAACATGTTGCCAATAAGATGAGTTCACGTCTCTGCAAGCCGCTTAGCATTTTCTCGGTCTTATTCTGAATTCGTCTTCGTTGGCGTCGGGCGAGAGAGGACAGGGGGACGGAGGGCAGGGGGGTTGACGTTTATTTTTTGTTTTTTTTTTTTTTTTTTTTTTTTTTTTTTTTTTTTTTTTCGGCGTACATACTAAATGGTGTGTTACCTCGTCGTTGTGTTTGTAACGGTTGAGGGTTGTGGAAAGTTTGGCGGTCTGTTTTTCTGGGCATTGTTTGTGTTGTGTTGAGAAACAGGGCGTTGTTTTAGTTTTTGGTGTTGTTTTTGTTTTTCGTTTGTTTGTAAAAAGTTTTTTTTTCTGCTTTTCTTCTTCGTGTGTTTGTTTGGGACATTTTTTTCTTCTTCTTCTTTTTCCTCGCGTTTTCGTGTTTGTGAGGTCTGGTTTGTGAAAAGTTTTTTTTTTGTTTTTTTGTTGTTTTCTTCGAGCTTGTGTTTGGGAAAGTTTGTTTATCTTTGTTTGTTTTCTTCATTTTCTTGGCGTGTTCGTGTTTGTGAGGTGGGAATGTCGGGACGAATCCTTAAGCTATTTGTGCAGGTAAGATAGTGGTTATCATCGGTATGGGTAGAATTAAGAATAGTTTTATTATTTGTTATGTTTGTTATGTTATTTTTATCTTGTAATCTTTAATGTAATCTGTAATTATTTTCATATCTTTCGTTTGACTCCTTTGTTGTCTTTTGTCTCTTAAAAGTTGTCCGAAACGCGACGGAATTTCTCGGAAACTGCCGTCGCTTGCATTCGTCTCCTGTGAGCTTTTTATTGTCACTCGGCGGATGCTCACTTTTGTGTTTACTTTTAGAGAAAGTAAAAAGAAAAAGAAAAAGGAAAGAAAGAAGAAGAAGAAAGAAGAAGAAAAAACGCAGGACTCTTGAGCGGGAGAATGAAAAATAACTTGTTTTAAGCGTAACTACTTCACTGATGGTTTCGCTTTGAGGTATTTAGGTGGGGTGTACACGCAGGTATGTAGGTACACACAGGCGAATGTAGACATGGTGCATGGATATACAGACATGTAGGTAACATACACCACCTACGCACGCACGCACGCAACGCACGCACGAACGCACGCACGCACGCAAACACACACACGCACACACACACACACACACACACACACACACACACACAACACACACACACACACACACACACCACACACACATAAACAACACCACACACACACACACACACACACACATACATAACATAAACACACACACAATAAACATAACACACACACCACACACATAACACACACACAAACCACACTACCAAACACAACACACACACACACACACACACACACACAACACACCACACACACCACACACACACCACACACACACACACACACACACACCACCACACAACACACACACACCACACACACACCACACACACACACCACACACACACACACACACACACACACACACACACACACACACCACACACACACACACGCACACACACACACTCACACACACGCACACGCCTGATGAGCGTGCGAGGCTCACACGGGGAGGCAAAACCCACCGCGTTCGGGGGTTTTGCCGCGTCCGCCTCTTCGCCCGAACGAAATTGTCCCCGCGAGCGAGTCTTGTCTTCTGAACTCCTCCGTCCTCGGCCTCTGCTGCCCCTGTTTATTCTGTCCTTCGTCCGCTTTTGTTTCTTTTCGGTTCGTGCGGGTAACGGATTACGCGCGTGAGAGAGGGGAAAGGTGCGGAAGGAGTGGGCGGTGGCGAAGGGGAGGTGGGCGGGGCGGAAGGAGGGGAGGGGGGGGAGGAGAACAGAACATCGCCACCTCAAAAGAAATTAAAAATAGAGAGAGAAGAAAGAAGAAAAACACACAGTCAAAGGGAAAAAGGAGAGAGAAAAGGTTAAAAGAAGAAAATGCAAAAGTACCAAACCCATGAATCCATGAATTCCGCATGCAGAGATCGCAGTACACGAACGCTCTCCCTGTTCCGCCCACCGCCTCTCCCTCCCCCCAACCCCTCCACCCCCCCGCCGCCCGCCATCAAAGGAGCGTCCCTCCGCCAGGCAATTGCTTTATAATTTTCCTTTGCCGCCGTCCGCCCACGCCTCGCCCCCCGCCACGCCCCGATTTCCAATTTTCATCCAATTTTCGCGACTCTTTTGCGCACGACACGGAAGACGGTCTTTTTCCTCCCTGTGCTTTGCGTCGGGGAAGACGTCGCGGAGATGAGGCTTCGGCGCCCGAGGGAGCGCGAGTGCCGGCGGCGGAGATGTGGACGGGCAGGTGGGCGGCGCGGAGGTGGGCGGGGGCAGAGTGGCGACGGGCGGAGGTGGCGCCGGAAGTGGCGGGCGGAGGTGGCGGGGGCGAGGGGCGGCGCGAGAGGTGGCGAGTGCCGTACGCTGGGCGCGCGAGGTATGGGCGGGCGGAGTGGCGAGGCGGACCTGGCGGGGCCGGAGGTGGCGGGGGCGGAGGGATCGGCCGGAGTGGCGGGCTGAGGTGGGCTGCGCTGGAGTTGGGGGGCGATTGGGCGCCGAGGTGGCCGAGGCGGAGTGGGCCGGATGTGGGCGGGCGATGTGAGCGGCGCGGAGGGGTCGGCGGAGGTGGCGGGCGCGAGTAGCGGGCGTGAGGTGGCGAGGCGGAGGGCGCGCGCGGAGTGGCCCCAGGCGAGGTGCGCGGGCCGGAGGTCTGCTGAGCCGGATGTCGGCGGGGGCGGAGGTGCGAGGCTAGTGATGCGACTGCGGAGGTTGGCGGGCGAGTGCAGAGCCGAGTGCGCGGGCGGAGTGCAGCGGATGGCGAGGGCGTGAGGATGAGGCGAGGCAGGAGGTGCGCGGCGGAGGTCGTGCGACGGCGAGGTGGGCGAGGCGGAGTGCGGTGCGGAGGGCTTCGGCCGCCTTCCGCGTTGGTTTCCGCCCGTCCTTGGGTTGTTCCTGGCTCTTGTGGTGGCGTTGTTCGTGTCTGGATGGCGTGCAGTAGTGTTGTGGTGTAGTGATGTGTACTGCTGCTGATATAATGTACGCTAATCTCCTTGTGTAAGAACGGTTTGTTTGGTCTGCGTTGCGTACTGTGTACACAGCAGCAAAGGAGAGTGGGTTGTATAGGTGGAGAGAGGAGGGAAGGAGGAGGGGAGAGGGTAGTTGGAGGGGGAAGAGAAGGAGAGGAGGGAGAGGAGAAGGAAGGAAAGGAGAGGGGTTGGAGGGGAAGGAGGAAGAAGGAGAGGGGAGAAGGGGTGAGGGTGGGAAAGAGGAAAGGGAAGGAGGAAGGAAGGGTTGGCAGGTGGAAGAGGAAGTGAAGTGAGAGGGGAGGGTCGTTGGAGGTTGGGGAAGGAGGAAGGAAGAGGAGCGATGAGGCGGGTTGAGGGTGGGGAGAGGGAAGGGCAAGAGAGGTAAGAGAAGAAGAGGGGAGATGTTTGAGGTGGAGAGGAGAATGAAGGAGGAGGGGAGAGGTGAGGGGGAGAGGAGGAAGGGAAGAGAGGGAGAGGGGGTTGGGGTGGAGAGGAAGGGAGAGGAAGAAGTAAGGAGGAGGGGACAGAGAGTTGAGGCAGGTGGGAGAGGAGTAAGGTAAGGAGAGGTAGAGGGTTGGAGGTGGGGATAGGAGGGAAGGAGGAGAGGGAGAGGGATTGAGTGTTGGACAGAGGAAGGAAGGAGGAGGGAGAGGAGGAAGGGAAGAGAGGAGAGGAGGAAGGAAGGAGGAGGGGGAGGAGGAAGGAAGGGGAGGGAGAGGGGGTTGAGGTGGAGAGGAGGAAGGGAAGGAAGGAGGAGCGTTGAGGTTGAAGAGGAAGGAAGTAGGAGGCGGGAGACGGGATGGGGGTGTGGAGGAGAGAGGAGGAGGGGAAGAAGGAAGGAGGGGAGCAGGGGTTGGAGGGGTGGGAGGAGCTGGAAGGAGGAGGGGGAGAGGGAGTTGGAGGTGGGCAGGAGGAAGGGGAGGAGGAAGGTTGCGAGGTTGGAAAGAGGGAAAGAACTATAAAAAAGACGGAAAGCCCTAACCCGCAGCCAGAAGGTCAGGACCAAGTGACCTAATCTCACCTAACCAGACAGAGATGCGACAGGTGAACACGAAACTCATTCCAGTGTCAGGAAAGAGTCATGGGGGGGGAGCAGAGGCGGGGGTTAATCAAAAAAAAAAAAGTAATAATAAAAGTGTGATGTAAGAAAAGTGAAAAGATAATAAAAATGTGATGTAAGGAAAAAAAAAGAAAAAGAAAAACTAATAAAAAATGGTGAGGAAAAAATGAGAAAAATGTGATGTGAAAAAAAAAAAAGAAAAAAAAAAAAATATAGAACATGTGATGTAAGGTTACGTGTGTTTAGATGTGAAACTAGAATCACTTCAGTGTGGATTCTCATGAGTGAAAGAAGCGGCTATGGAACTCCCACCAAGTACCACGAAGAATTCAAGAATCAAAAGGACCTGGAGTATAGACATGAAGCTTTCTATTAAACGATTCTCCCGGTATAACACCAGTAACTTAACCGACCTCAATATAAAACCCGTAACTTTCTTCCAAATTCCTCAGATCATTTCTGTAACCGCTTCACAAACGACATGTTTAGTGACAGACAGGACAGACACCCGCCCACCGCATATATATATAGCCGGATTACACGATGGCACAATTCACCCCCCCCCCCCCACTCACACATCATACGTAGAACCGACGCCACTGACCGGGAATACATGATCCGCATTACAAATATTCTAATTCCCCTCCGTACTCTACAGCGGCTTCGTTTCGCTAATCATTGCGTTTCCGGTTCGAGAGGAAACGGCGCGGCCGGATAATCCGTCATTTCGCATTTTTTTTGGCGAACGGAACCGGGTGAAAATTTTTCAATTTCGCTGATGGAAACAGGATTGGCCGGAATGGGAGAGGAGGCGCTGGAACGAACCACTCCGCTCCGACGCTCTCTCGCTCTCGCTTTTCTTGCGTCTGGCTTCTGGCCTCTCACGCCATTCTCTCTCTCACATATCGCGTGTGTAGTATATATAATATTATATATATATATATTTATATATAATATATATATATATTATATAATATATATATGTATTATATATATTATATTATGTATTAATACATACACCACATACCTGTATATATATATACTTTAATGCTAGTAATAAAGTTTTTAATTGAATTTTTAACTTGGTAGGTAGCACGTCTTCATTAATGGTAGTTTTAGCTCGTATTCCGTGTGGTCTTCTGGGGTTCCTTTCAGGGTGTTATTGGCTCTTTGCCTCTTTATTTTATATACAAAGTGATATGTGGTCTGGCATTATTAATAAAATGCTGTTGCATATGCTGATATACTCCTCTATGCTATATCTTTTCTGACAATAGCAAAATAGTAGCTGATACTTCACTGTAGACCTATGGATAATTCAATGGTGGTGCTCTAGGTTGAGCGTGAAATTAAGCTTACAAGTCTGAGGTAATGATTGTGGTCAGTCTAGAATGCACTTGCCTCAGACCCAAGTCTGTTGATTGATGGAGTCTTAATCTCTTCAGTGGAAAATCTGAAGCTTATAGGTGTAGCCTTTGATGCAAAGCTTATATCTGAATTGCATATTAGGAATATGGCCCGGGCAATTTATCTAAAGGTGTTGTCACACTAGCACTTTTCGTCATGTTTTTGACAATTTTATTTACAAACACAAATAATTCCGAATCTAGCTTACTTGATTTGACTTTGCTTGGCTGAAAAAGTTGACGGAAAGGTTTTCAGACGGAAACGATCATTATCGTCTGACTGGAAAATCGACAATTCGCTCAAAAATGAACTATAAATTCAGAAAATTAAAAAAGAAATGACGGTTAAAAGTGCTAGTGTGAAGCACCTTAAGTTAGGCAATTATTCGCAAGTGCAAAAGAAAACCTACGAAGATGCCATTGCTCGTAGGTGGCTTCTTTTCTTATTTCTGCTTCATTTTGACTTTGGTCTCCTTGTGTGCATACTCTACTGCTTGATTGTTCTTTTAATTCATTAATATTCTCCTGTCTGACTCAAATTTGGGCACCCGGGTAGGGTATTTTGAGCTCTTTCAGTCTTATACAAGTTTTTACCTCAGTTTTACCAGGCTGCAAGAGTTACCAGAAGTTCTATGACCCTCAATGGAAGTCGATCGTCTACAAGAAAAAAAAATCTAGATGCTTCTACTTACTATTTGTAGGTTTTGGAATAGATTACCTTCAGAGATTGTAACTTCTCTGACACTTGATAAGTTTAAAAGATCAGCGAACATTTTTTCTTAGTAAATAGCTGACTTTCTATTTCATTCTTCTTAGTCTGTATCTTGACCTGCGTTGACATCTTGATGGTAGGAATTAGAATTTTTTCAGTTGGTCTTTATATAAGTTACCATAATAATGAAATAATAATATAATATAAATATATAAATATATTTTATTACATATATGGTATGTATATATGTAATCTCTCTCTCTCTCTCCTCTCTCTCTCTCTCTTCTCTCTCTCTCTATATATTATATATATATATTATAATAATATATATATTATATATATTATATATTATAATTATGTAATATATATATATATATATAATATATTATATATATATATATTATTTATATATATATATATATATGCATGCGTTATATGTACACACACGCAAAAACACACATTACACATCACACACGTATGCACGCACGCACACACATACACACACACACACACACACACACACCACACACACACACACACACACACACACACATATATATTATATATATATATATATTATATTATATATATATATTGTGTGTGTGTTATCGGTCCACAGTCATCTCACTTTCCACTCAGATTATCAGACGGCGTCCGTGCGCTGTATCCACCTCCTGCGCCCCTTATATTCCTCCTTCCTTGCTCTCTCTTCGCCCAATCCATCACGCAGGATGTATGACAGATTATTAGTTTAGTCTTCCCCCAACTCAGGGACAGGTATAGAAAACGTGGATTTATTTCGCAGTACGGTTTAAATTGCTTTTCATATATCATTCACCTTTTTTGTTTGTGAGAATAAAGGGAATACTTGGGTTTTGCGGTCTAAGACATCGGTTCATTGACTTCAGCACGGAACACGTACACAATGGAGAGAATGAGAGAGAGAGAAAAGGGAAGAGAGGAGGGTAGGGAGAGAGAGAGTAAGAGAAAGAGGGAAGGGAGGAGAAGAGACAGACAGACAAAATAGAAAAGAAAAGAGAAATGAGGAGGAGAAGAAGAGAGAGACAGATAGACATGAGAAATCGAGGGAGATAGAAAAGACACCAGAGAACAAGAGCGAGAGCTAGATATAGACGAAGAGATAGAGGGTGAAGAAAAGGAGAGAACGAAGACACGAAGAAGACAGCGTGAATTAATCAGGCAATTTATCGACAGCCCAAGCTCTCAGCCAGACAGTCAAAAGATTACACGAGGACAAAACAGCGAGAAGAACACGCCAAATGCCAGAAGTCTGATCGAAATGGAAGCGCCGCCATCTGTGCAAACAAGTTCCAAACAACTTCACTTTCATTGTCAGCTATGCGTTCTCTCGTGCCGACGGAAGCGGAACACGTCCAACCACCGACGAAGGGTAAGCAGCAGCCATAGCTAATAACAGCACGAAGAAGCGGACGAGGAGAGGAAGGAGAAGGGAGAGAGAGACTGGAGCCGAGATGCGAGAGAGGGGAACGGCGAGGGGAGGAGGAGAGAGACTGGAATCGAACCGGAGGAGAGAGAAAGAGAAGGAGAGAGAGAGGCAGAGAGAAGGACTGGAATCGAAGGCATAAGCAGAAAGGGTGATTCGTTACGGAATTATATGATGCGCCTTATTGACTCAAGCCTGGGGACGACAAGCGATGCGAGCCTCGCCCGGCGAGGAGGACCGGGGGACACGCTTTAGATATTGTGTGTGTCTATTATTATATAATATATATATATTATATATATATATAGATATATATATATATATATATATAATATTATATATATATATATATATATATATATATATATAATATAATATATATATATATATAATATAATATAACATACATAAAATATATTAATATATATATATATATATATATATATATATATATATATATATATATAATATATATATATATATATATATATGTATAATATATATATATTATATATATATAATATATATTATATATATAATATTATATATATATATATATATATATATATATATATATATATATATATAATATATATATATATATATGCATATAATAGTATATATTCTATATATATATATAATATATATAATATAATTAATACATACATGTATGTTATAGATATATGTATACACACATTTATGTGCAGTTGTATATATAAATAAACATATACATTATTTCTATTAATCTGATAATATTTTGTGTTTAAACTGTATATACAATATACAATTAAAACAAAAAAAAAATCGCACTTGATTCTGAATCTAAAAAAAAAAGGTTTTCAATAGCGCCCGGAAATATAAATAAATTTAAAAAGTTTTTAGAATCCCAAGAAAATGATAAACCGGCACTTTAAAATCCAAAACGAAATGCGATATGAAGAAGAAGTTGAAGGAGAAAATAGACATCTGATGTAAGAAAAAAAAAAAAAAAAAAAAAAAAAAAAAAGTTTCCGAAACCATTGACACAAATCAATAAAAATTCAACCACAGCAACACAATATCGAATCACTTCCCTCCTCTGAATAACCACATCTTCAAGTTACGA